TAATTCATTTTCGTGGCTGATTTGTTTACTTCTCTAAAGATTTGTTTTTGGGATAAATACTAAAATTAGGAATTAGTAAGAGATAGCGGAACGAATGTACACCACTTGGAAAGCATATAGGGACAGGATATATCCTTGGATATGAAAATAATTCGATTTCTGTATTATTTTATAGTAAAAACTTAATTTTTTGGTCAATGTTAATTTAGACTCTATATATGGACATTCAAAACTAATATGCAAGAGGGTAATGTGTATGTCCTAAATGACTTAGAGAATGCGGCTTCTACTTCACAATCCGACGCCAAAGAACTAGTAAAGCTAACTTTATTTGCATGTTTTATATCTCTTTTAACATGTACCTATAACAAATGGCTCTCAAATCTCCTATATTTATTGGAGAGAGAATCTTCATTTCTTCGTCTGTTCAGCAGATGCTTGGAGTCGATCTCACCCTTCTTTCACACCTATGTGTCATTGAACGCAGCCCAAGTGCCATTCTTGACGAAATATTAGCATCTCAAGTGCCCCCTTTGCGTTTTCCTTAAGGTGTGAAATAATGTAAGGGGGAGTTTTTCCTCAGAGGTCTCATCCTGTGACTCATCCCGTCGTTTAAATCGGTAAAGTGTCATCGCTGTTTATGTCGTGTTAGCAATGTTTTTGTTATGCTCCCTCCTGCTTGTTTCCTGTTACCTATGTTTGCCTCGAGGTACTACTGTCTAAGTCGTGCTATTCCATGTTTGGGTCGTGATGCTGGTGTTTTTGCTGGGGTACCACTGTTTGTAACCCTCTTTGAGGCGTGTTGCCTCATGTTTATGTCGTGTTCAAGCTGTTTGTGGTGTGATAAAGCTGTGCTTCAGCTGTTTGTATTGTGCTACAGCTGTGCTACAGCTGTTTGTGCTTTGCTATGATTCTTTTGTACTGTGCCCCAGCTGTTTTGTGTTGTGCTATATCTGTGATACAGCTGTTTTGTGTTGTGCTATATCTGTGATACAGCTGTTTGTGTTGTGCTAGATCTGTGATACAGCTGTTTGTATTGTTCTACAGCTGTGCTACAGCTGTTTGTGCTGTGCTATGACTGTTTGTACTGTGCCACAGCTGTTTGTGTTGTGCCACAGCTGTGAAACAGCTATTTTGGCCGGTCCCTTCAACGTTGTGAGTGTGTCTGGTTCTGGCATATGATCTATGTATTATACTAAAATATCCTCTCATGGATCTTTCTGATACATTTTTGACATTCTTCCGGTGCAACAAGGCCTTATTAACTTGCAACATGGCACATTCTTGTTTCGCTAGTCATATTATCTCCTTTCAACCTCGTACGTTTCATGCCATTTTTGTTTCAGCTTCAGAAAAATAGAAAAAAACATTCTTCGAGATATTTGATGGCGGTAAATAATCACTTAATTATATCCCATCAAATTTTCAACTAACTTATGGACTTTGGTTTAATTTGTTTTCAGATAAAATATAACAAAATCTATCCAACACAAAAATAAAATCGAAATTCATTGAGAACACTGTTAGTACCCCACGTCTGAATCCATAAATTTTCATGTTTGTATTTTTCTCTACTGATTTTCCAACTTTTTTTCCCTTTTCTCCTTTTGGGATATTCGACGCCATTCCTGCATCTCGCTGCCTGCTGGAAAACAGATCCCATTTGGCTCAAAGTACTAATAATGCATTTGAGTTTGTATCCAATCTTCATATTACCTCACAGTGTGTGAATTACGACTGGTGTACCTCATCGCAGGCTGCTCTGGGGGTTCTGTTGAGAAAGGGAGTGAAGGAGAGAGCGAGAGAGAGAGTTAGAGGGTGAGGAAAAGTGGAGAGGTAGATAGAGAATTAGAGGAAGAAAGAGTGCGAAAGGGTGACAAAGAGAGACAGAAAAAGCAAGAGTGACAACAAAAAAATGAATGAAATTTGACTCTTCATTGACTACGAAGAGCTACTGGCATCCGGGAATCAATGTTATTTTGATCCCCGGATTCTGCATATTCTCTTCTTCGAGGCAGAGGGTCCCAACAACCAAAGGTTGTACCCCAAATATATATATTATATATATATATATATATATATATATATATATATATATATATAGATATATAATATATATATATATATATATATATATATATATATATAATATGAAAACTCACACCCCAGAAGTGACTCGAACCATACTGCCAGGAGCACTCTGCTGGCGTACAGGATCCCTTAACTGCTCGACCAACACGACCGGACAAAAGAGGATGGTAGCCGAGGCTATTTCCATCCCCCCGCCGGCACTCGGTTAGTAATCTTGGGCATAGTATTTTATTTAAATCACCTCATTTTTGGGGGCACACGTGAGGAACACAAATGCGAACAAGCCTGAATAGTTCCCAGGACTATATGCAACATGCCCAAGATTACCAACCGAGTGCTGCATATCGTGCAGCACCCAGCTCTCCCGGGTGCTTCATATCGTCTTCTTCGAGGCTTATGGGTCCCGTCAAACAACCAGAGGTGTTACCACCCAATGTATATATATGTGAAAAAAATTGGTATAATTTATTAACCTAATTAATTATACTAATTTATGTGAACTATGTATGTGCATTAAAGAAATCATATATATATATATATATATATATATATATATATATAATATATATATATGTACACTAGATGAGGTACCCGCAGGTACCAGGGACAAACCAGTCAATGTGTCGATCCGGCATTATTCCATCAAAACGAAATTCATTAAAAATTATATGGTATAATGCTAATTAATTACAATATATGAACGGGATTCCAACACTTGTCAACACAACGTTTCTATCTCTCTGTCTGTCTGTCTCTCTCTCTCTGTCTTTCTATGTCTCTCTGTGTCTTAATGTGTCTCTATATGTATGTGTGTTTCTAGGTCTATGCCTCAGTGTCTCTCTCTCTGTCTTGTGTCTGTCGGCATAGGAGTTTTTCTGTGTCTCTTGGCTTTCTGTTAGTGTTCCTGCTTTTCTGTGTGTGTCTCTCTCTGTCTTTATTGCTGGCTGTGTGATAGAGTTAGTCTGTGCTTCTATTTCTGTCTCTCTCTATCTTTGTCTATCTCAATTTCTCTCTGCGCATCTCTCTATTTTTCTGCCTTTTAGTATCTCTTTTTTCTGTCACGAACAACACCAGGAATATCCTGACCAACTACACTGACATTTATCGACAGATACAATGACAACAGAAGATCAGACATCGACAAAGCTCTACATATCAAACACAACCAATTATCACCAGCCAGAAAAAACACTCAGTTCCCTTCGACAATCTTCAGGACTAAGAGAATATGCAGCACACTACCCTAACCATCATTATAACGTAATAAAGAGACTAATGAAGGCCAATTGACCACATGTAACACCTTACTACATCTCACTCTCTGTTAAATAATATATATTGCTCTAAATAATCTATATCCACTTCTACTGTGCCTTTGAAAATGTGGACAAGATCAACGAAACGCATCTCCTAACGCTAGGTAATGTGAAACTGTAAGAGGAATTTTGAAGAGTTCATTTGTCAGTTTCTTTCTCAAGAAATATAGAGAAAAATCGTGTTAGAATTCAGGATACTCAGTGATACTCGTATAGAATCTTTAAACTAATAGGAGAAGTAGTTACATAAGCAGAAAGACAGTGAGGGAGAGAGACAGAGAGAGAGAGAGAGAGAGAGAGAGAGAGAGAGAGAGAGAGAGAGAGAGAGAGAGAGAGAGAGAGAGAGGAGAGAGAGAGAGAGGAGGAGAGAGGAGAGATAGAGAGAGAGGGGAGAGAGAGGAGAGGGAAGAGAGAGAGGGCGGGGGGATGGAAAGGGAACTATAAGGAGAAAGCGTCGAGACTATAAGGAGAAAGCGCCGAGCCATTACGACTATATGACACTTGAAGGCAACAGGGTAAGGATTTTGATGGGAAGGGGGAAAAATCGGAAGACAGACAGAGAGAAAGAAAGAGAGAGAGAGTAAGAGAGAGAGAGAGAGAGAGAGAGAGAGAGAGAGAGAGAGAGGAGAGAGAGAGAGAGAGAGAGGAGAGAGAGAGAGAGAGAGAGAGAGAGAGAGAGGAGAGAGAGAGAGAGAGAGAGAGAGAGAGAGAGAGAGAGAGAGAGAGAGAGAGAGAGAGAGAGAGAGAGAGAGAGGAGTGAGAGAGAGGACGAAGGCGGGAGAGAGAGACAAAGACGGAACACAGGAGATTGAAGGAAAAAGAGGGAGAGAGACTCCACGTTTCCACGTTACCTTCAGCCATTAAGGAATGTTAAAGGATAGGATATGAAAGACCTGAAGAGTCCATAATTAATCAGATATATCCGGATACACATATCCAAGAATCCTCGGCCTTTCGGAGTCCTCGGCAATGATTACTTTAAAGAAAGCAACAAATAAATAATGTACATACAGGGTTATATTCAGTAGATATCTCTTCCAGAATTTTCAATCAGAAATTCTCCTAGAAACAGCTTAAATTCGACTCTCAAGAACTTTCGAGAGAACGAAATCTATTTGTGATACTCTTGAGATTAGTTTGATATTGTTCTCGATCGATTCTGTAATTTCAGAACACAATACCGGATCAGGTTTATCAGGTTTATCAGGTTTTTGCCGTTGTATTTGAACCGGATTTAAATGGAACATCTTTATAAAACTAAACAGAATATCTGTTAGCATTCACTCTACTGTACAAGTAGAGACGCACTTTACAAACATATGTTATTGATTGATATTCCCATCAGTTTTCCATACCCCTCTCCTGAAAACATAATCATTTTCATAAGAACATAAGAATGAAGGTAACTGCACAAAGGCCTATAGGCCCATACGAGGCAGCTCGTACCATTAAAGTCATTCCTACAGGTACCTCACCTTACAAGCTTAGTTACCTCTTCAAAACCTCATCAGCTTATCATAAATCCACGAAAAAATCCTAGATTTTCTATCTAGGATTTATATTCTAGTAATCCTATAAAAATCAAGGTCTCACCTGGCAAAAAGACGACGAAGAAGACGATGCCGAAGGTGCGCCATAGGGTCAGCCACATCTCGTCAAGGTTGGCTGAGCCTCGTCACCGTGATATTGCGTCTCGCGCCTACTTTCAGGAACCCTGAGAGGGATCGAGGAGAAACCTGCTCCTCTCTCTCATTACCAGGTCTTCGTCGCTAGGTCTCTAACCTCTACTACTACTACTACTACAGGTATTTCTCACTCTAACACCTCCAGTGCACTCAAGGATTCATGTGACGACATTTGTATTCTGTGCAGCTGAATTAATATTATTATTATTGTTATTATTTTTATTATTTAACTAGCGCCTCTCTCGAAATCTGCGCTGACCACGTCTGTGTTGAATTCAAAGTCTTTACGTCTACTCACTCTCACCTCTCTCTCTCTGACTCGCTGGCAAACATTTGAATTCCTTTTCCCAAGATCACGAAATATCTACCCTTTGCACGTCAAGCTTCTGTTGTCCTGAAATTGCGCTGCAACTTTCGATTACCAACAAGAATTCAGTCCAAGTACTAAATTGTTTGCCACATTCACTACATCAGAACTTCAGTGTCAGGTCTTGACTACAAGCGCATTCCTCAAATTTCGTCCATTATTTTTCTGCTATAAGTGCATTCTATATCAATAGAATTTTTCGACGCCTTACCAATCTTTATCTTTTTCGCCTATCAGTTCGTCTTTTGTATGGTCTACTACACATTTCCCACTATAGACCAAGCTGACGTTGATATAGACACGCTTTACGCTTTGTCGAGTTTCCTATCTTTATTCTTATTGTAGTTGCTGTTGTAGCTTGCTGGTCGTGTTGTTGTCTATGCCACTAATATGAAATCTTTCTCTGGGTCATTGAGCACTCCTGGCTTCATTCTTGGCTCGCGTTCCATGCATTCCTTCAAGTAGCCGTTCTAAACCGGGCTCGTGGACCATCCAAGTTGTTGCGGTACGCGAGAGGTAAGCGAGGCTGAGCAGAGCACCAGCGTGACCCCCTGCTTGTTGCTCACCTTTGTTCGCCAGTCGGTCCAAACGACGCGACGACCCCTCTTCAAACGACCCCGTCTGGTCCAAGTGGCAATAAACAACGACTTATCTACCTCTCTCTCTCTCTTCCCAACTTATCCACTGAAATTACTGAGAATAATTGCTCACTTTTCTTCCCCCCAATCACCTTCCATACGCCACTTTCCACACACACGTCACTTTTCAATTCTTTATTTAGACAGCACTAAGTACTCGATAGGCGAGGACTCCACAAATCACGCCTAGTAAATTCTAGTTAGAAATTGGTCACAGGCACGTAAAGTGGGATGAGCGTCCCGGGTAGCCACCAGGGACATGTTTGCGTGCGTTGCGTGCGTGGCGAGGGGTAACGGAGAGCCAGACAGTAGCGTGCAGGGGGGCCAGAGGGCAGCTACTCTACCTTGTCATGATCACGGCCCGCGGTCGACTGCCGCTATCCGCTCCTCAGCCGCCCCGCACCGCCACCCACCTTCTCTTTCCCTAAAGCTCCTCCTACCTCCTCCTCTTCCTCCTCCTCCTCCTCCTCTTCCTCCTCCTCCTCCTCCTCCCTCCTCCTTCTCTTATTTTACTGCTTCCTGGTTTGCTTTTTATTCTATCATTGTTTTATTTCTCCTACCGTATATACCTGTGTAATTGGTATTTCGGTTACCTTCCAACATATTGTCTTTCTTCCTATTTATTCCCGCTTATTTTCCTGAATGTGTAAATGTTTCCAGTTATGTATTTATTTTGCTTGCACGTGTTCCTTGACAATACAAGATCAGATCTTGACAATATATGATCAGAAGGAAGTCACAGGTCCCAATCTAAGCATTTTTTTTATTAATACATGAGGTATAACTGCATTAGTGCAGCTACCCTAGACTATATGAAGTGGAGTACAGTGTGTCAAAAAAGCTAAATAGGTGATGCTAAAAAATCCAATGTAAGCATTTCATCTGTCTTGACCTTTAAGTCTACGGGATCACCGTAGCCCGTGCTACTTGGATTTTTTTGGTCTAGGTAGCGAATCTTAAACAACAACAACTTGACCTTTAATTATTGTTTACGTGTACCGGCCTGGTGTCCCCCTCTGAATTTCAACAACACACAGAAATATAGTTCTCAAGAACTCTCTTGAGAAGCTTGTGACAGGAATCATTCAGAACTTTGTATATCACAATTGTCAGACTAATACTGGAGTATGCGGCACCGGCGTGGAGTCCATATCTAATCAAACAGGAAACGAAGATAGGAAAAGGTTCAGAGGTCTTCCACCAGGCTAGTCCCCGAGTTGAGGGGATATGAGTTACGAGGGAAGACTGTTGGAACTAAACCTCACGACACTGTAAAACAGAAGAATTAGGAGAGACATGATCACCACCAATAAAATTCTCAGAGGAGTTGACAGGGTAGATAAAGACACTATTTAGGACAGATGTTGACGAATAAAGGTGGATACAATGGTGGATACAAAGGTGGATACTTAGTACCCCAATGAACCACAAGGACGTTAGAAATAACATTTTCAGTGTCAGGAATGTTAACAAATGGAATGCATTAGGGAGAAATGTGGAGGAGGCAGACTCCATACACAGTTTCAAATGTAGATATGTTACAGCCCAATAGGCTCCCGAACCTGCACACTAGTTTATTGACAGTTCAGAGGTGAGACCAAGGAGCCGAAGCTCAACCCCCGCAATCACAACTATGATAGTACATATACTGCAACCGTTAGAAAGCCTTTGACATAATACCTCATAAGCGTTACTATAGCGGAGGAGACCTCAGAATGTCTAGTTGTCAACAACGGAGTCCCACAGGGCTCTGTACTTGTACCCATCCTGTTTCTGATATTCGGAAACGATCTTCCAGAGGGTATAGACTCATTCCTCTCAATGTTTGCCGATGATGCAAAATTAGGAGAAGATTTAAGAAAGGGCAGGAGAGGAAGAGAAAACAAGATGACCTGGACAAAGTGAAGAAATGATGCAACAAGTGACTACTTGTAAGTGTAAATTGAGGAAAATAGGTACAGGGAGGATGAGGCCAGACACAAAGGGCCATTTAGGACGCGAAGTCCTGCAAGAATCAGAAAAGAGAAAGATCTGGGGTTGATACAGCGCCAGACCCGTCCCCCGAAGTCGATATCAAGAGGATATTATCAGCTGCATATGCTAGGTTCGCCAACATAACTACCTTCAGAAAATTGTATAAGGATTCCTTCAGAGTGTTGTATAAAACATGTCAGAGGAAGGCTGGAGTACGCAGCTCCAGCGCGTAGAGTTACACCATCATCTTCTTAAACAAGTGACTTAGGCCTACCCGACAAGCCTTTGCCTGTCTCGTACCCCAGATAAATGCCACTTTATTCCCTGGAAATTTGGGTGGATACTGGTAAAAGTGGAAAGTGGAAACTGGCGGCTCTAGGGTCTCTAGTTATTTCAATTAGCTTAGAACCCAGCTCCTTCAAGAAACTAGCATCACTTTTACCCCAGGCCCCAAGATTCTCTGAGGCCATGGAGACAAAATTGTAGTGGTGTTTAAGGTCTCTAAAATTTCAAGACTTGGCTGCTTCCCGGTGATGGCAGCACCGCCTGGATTTGCAACACTGAGGTCCACATAGGTGTTGAATAAAAGTTGAAATGCACGTGTAGTCCCACACCAACTGTCTACCATTCTTCCAGGGGATCACCTTGATCCCCTCTGGGCGACGGACAGGCTCGTCAGAGTTGCGGGGCATTAGGTAACGAGGTTCTCTCTCTGCTGGATAACCGGCTGTGGTAAGGCTCCTCTTAATAATGACATTTACCTCGTTCTGTCTTGCATGCCATCCTCCTGTGCTTTCGCAGAGCAGGTCATGCCGTCCGGACCTGTCGGCCACTGCCTCGCCGCAAATACACCTATATCCGGTGTGGATAGGTGCAGCGAGACGGAGAGCCACAGCAGATCGGAGGGCCTGCGGTCTGAGACGCGTGCCGGTTGCTGACATTGGGGTTGCTAATAGGAAGTCAGCTGCAAGGGGAGCTGCTTCAGCTTTAAGTCAGGCAGTGTCATGTGGTGATGTTGCAGCTTCTAGGCATGTTGCAGCTGCTTGGTCTACAATGAGGCCATCCCCGCTGCTTATGAGCTTCTGAAGGTGGTGGTTGGGGTGCTGGTCCTGCAAGAGAGACCCATTTGATGGTAGAGTCTGTAAATCTGGGTTCTTGTACTCCTGCCCGTTGACCTGAGTGGTAGGGTAGGATTTCCTTCACCTGATTGTGAGATGCCACTGAAGAGGACAGGAACGAAAGAAAGGATGAGGGCACTTTCTAAAATTTATTTCAGAAAGCGTTCGTACTCTTCTAATTTAAAATTATTGAACGATGGTGAACATCTAAGAAAGTAGGTCAGCCTGGGGAGGGACAAGCATCTAATGATGAGGTAAAGTGCATTATGAGCATCAATGTCTTCAATCATCTCATTCATCCTTTTCAGGTCAGCGATCTTCTTACTAAGGATCTCGTCGATAGCCTTCCTGCCAAGAGGAGCTCCTAGGAGTGTGCTATCCTCAGGGTTGGTTATACGGATGTCCAGCAAAACACTCATTATTCGCTCAATTATGTGCTGGTTGGTGGAGGTTATTTCGCACTGGGAAGAGTTCGGGGTGAGGCCTAGACTTGCTCCTTGCTCCTGATATATTCATATGTCCTCCAAGAGGGAGTCTGGGGAGCCAGCTAGAGCACCATCGTTCAAAAACCAAATGTTGAGTTCATGGGACAGGTTGTCAATGACATGGCAGAAAAGAAAAGAAGCACGGTGGTCACCCGGTTGGAAACCTTGCGATTCAAGTTCATGTTCCCCGAATAACTGAGTTAGGTTCTTGGTGTAACAAGAGTATACAAGCCGGTAGAGGGAAGGAAAATACTAATGAACCGTATTGAGTTCTGCATCACTTCTTACCAGATTGAAAACATTGTTTTCTGTATTGTTGGCAATGTAGGCTCTAGCTGCATGAGCCGCTGCCTTGCTGCCATCCTTTTTTCTCAGTGCACAGGCGGTAGCACCAATAAAGAAAGGCCGAATGGTTTCTGGTATGTGGCCAGCTAGGCATATGTTGGAGAATCTAGTTAATTCCTCAAGGACGTCGTGTGCAATGTCTCCCAGTGCTGGGTTGAGCATTTGTTTGATGTGGTTGGGTCTTAGTCCTGTGAATTCTCCTGCTGATCCTGGTGGGAAGGCCAAAGCTGCTCTATGCACCACGAATTTGACCACACACAGAAGTTGCACTCTGGTGACACCGACTGATGGAATACTGTCGTCACGTCAAACTCTGGGTGGGTGTTTGTCTCTCAGGGCTTGGTGATGACTCTTATTGGTGATGACTGAGGGACTCTTACAGATCATCGCTGGTGATGACTCTTATTGCATCTACATTATTACCTTCTTCTGTTTTCTTGCTGACTGTTGCTCTGATTTTTGGATGCCTCGGTTCTGCTGTTGATACCTTTCCTGTGTGGGGGGGGGGGGGTGTTTTTGGCACGGGAGGAGAGGGTACCTGGTTGTCCTCAAATATATATATATATATATATATATATATATATATATATATATATATTTTGTGACGATAATCTCCTTCAAGAGATTGAGCCTGCTCTTCCCTCCACAATTACGTCGTTGAAATTATATAAAACTACTATGGAAGAAATGTCCAACAACGACAAAAACACTTGCAAGGTTTGCCAGAGCGCAAAACGTATGCAGCCAGACACCTGTTCGGACTCAAACCGCCAAACTACCTGTTGATCGCTACCGGCTCCGCTGATTGGTCGCCGGTCTGGCTGCAACTGCACTCGCCCCCCCATACTACTTGATGTCTGGGGTCGCCACGACCTCAGACCTCAGAATATTCAGTGCTTTCGTGGTTATCACTCCTCCCGGCTAGACGTTAGCGTGTACTGAGAGAGGTGGTAGCTTAAAGCCAATATTCCAGCACCTTCCCAATTATTTCTGTGTTGCACTTCTTGTTATTTTATCTTAACGTAACTTTTCATTGTGTCATTTAATTATTCTTATTATTTTGATTGATTGATTTTATTATACCAATTTGTTTGTCCATTTTTTCATGTTTTGATTTATTTAACGTAATTAAAATTTCATTGTTAAAGTTTACTTGTGTTTTGTGTGTCTTCTCCTTGCCTTACCACAGACGAAGTTCCAGTTTTTCTATTTTTTTTTTATAACAATGTGACGAGGCCATACCCTTAGCCTTAAACAGCCGAACACCAACGCGTTACCGTCACAATATATATATATATATATATATATATATATATATATATATATATATATATATATATATATATATATATATATATATATATATGAGCATACTAAGAGCACTCCATTATACCTTACCTAGAAGGAAGAGGGCGCCGGAGTCTGGTGAGGTCGCA